TCGAACCCGCGACCTCTGTACTACATGCCCGATATCGGACGCGTCGCTATCTACTGTACGATTAGATTAGATGGGGCGGCAGCGCACGGCACAGCTCGGGCCCCGCTGACACAGCCGTTCTGACTCACCGGCCCCCGGGGCCGCGTCGGCATGCTGCGCACAGACCAGCTGCGCACGGACCAACGTGCACAGCCTGCCCTAATCTCCCCATGTATATAAGCCGGCCTCTGCTGCCCTAGGGACCTCAGTTTCGACCTCTTGTCCCTAGGTCAGTAAGCTCCCCTTTGTGTTCCTTTCTTACTTAACTAACTAATATACTATCTTGTCCCTAGCCTTAGGTTTGAGCGCTGCTCACCATCGCTTCGGTGAGATTTAGTCGGACGCCCCCAGCTTTCAGATCTTCCCCTGTCGCTTGACCTCAAGTCGCGACAGTCCTCGAGTGTGCCATCATCTCTTATCTCGGCATCAGTATTTTCCCACACATACTCTGGTGTGATCGGGCCTGGTCGCTGTCTGCGTAAGGGAAGATTGTGCGGATTTGATACCGGACGATGCCGGGCACGCTTGATATCCGGGCGACCGGGCCATGGTTTGCAGGCAACAATTCCGCCAGGCACAACCTTTGTCATGTCGATGTTGCAGCGCTCGTGCTTGGGTATCTTGACAAATTGTAAGATCCCACGCTCGCAGCGGAAGATCAAGTTGTCGAAGACTTGGGTGCCACCAGGAAGATTGCTGGGATTCTTGAACGGGACATGTGGACTCCATCCCTGTAAGGCAACCCAATACTTGTTCCACACGTGATTGATATATGATTGCGGGGTCCAGCGCATCCGCGCATTCGGATCCCCAGTGACTTTGCCTGCAGTGCCCATATCGAGTAAGTCTCTAACCCCGTATCAGAAATACATACAATTCAACTCACGCAATGCATCCTGTATGACTGCGCGCAGTATGCCACGCTTTTGCGTGAAGGATGTTGCATAGCTCGGAGCTGACTGACTGCTGCCAAGATCAACACGGACCATACTGTTTTTGTTACCATGTATACCAAGTTGCGCAAATATACAAAGTTTACTTACTTGTGTATTTGCTTTGAAGATGAGTCTGTAGGTCAAAGCAAGCAGTCGGAATGCGAGGTGCGAGAATGCCTGAAGGACATGCAGTGCAATAAATAAAGTTGTTGAGATACTACAAATAGGTACAGTCGGGCTAGACACCCATCGCAGTCAGGAAGATCATTAACTAAAAATAGCCATAACGCAACACATTCTGCTCAATAGTGCACTGTACTATTTTAAGCCGTCGTCATGACTCGCTATGTCGCAACATGTTCGGTAGCTGCAAGTGCATTTGTTTTTTGCGCATGTAACAGCAATTGACTCAAAGTTCACGTAGACTCGTCTGACAAGATGCGCGGCATCGGCCTCCGCAGACTCTCAGGAAACAATATATAAAGCCGCAGCTGCAGGGACAAGGGACCATAGCAGTGTTCCCGGAACGTGAGTCGTGAGTCACAAAGTCCGCGCGCGGCCGTCGCGTGTCGCGCGTCGCCTCGGTCACAGGTCGCCCGCGCGCGCTCTCGGCACACGCCTTGCGCGTCCAAATCAGAGAAAGAACGCACCATGGTCGTCGCGTTAGCGCGCTGCAGCCGACACGACTGCTCCTTGGCCGAGGCGCGTGCCCCAGCGATCGTTGCTAGCACGACGGGCATGGTCGATGGGCTGAGACATGGGCCGTGTTGTGCCTGCACCGACGGGGTGGCAGGCAGACACGGAAACGGGATTGTTGGGCTGCGAGATAGCATCAGTACACACGGCAGGGTGACGTTGCCGACGCGCGAGCGAGCAGGACGCGGGACGCGGTCGCCATCGCGATCACGGAGGCGATCTGACAAGCTCGTTGACCGCGGGCTTGCGTCAGGGGACGCGAGCTAGGGCGACTCGGTGCGCTGGGGC